TCTCTCTCTCTCTCTCTCTCTCTCTTTGTGAATTGAATAGTTTTTTCTTGTGTTTGTTCAAGGCACACTCTCTTTCTCACTATATTGCTTCATTCTTAACGGAGATTTTCACAATAATCCCTTTTAAAGACAAAAATTTAATTTCAAATTTGTTGTGTTCGTGCCAAGCCGTATGGTTGATGAATATGTTGAAGAAGTTGTGTAGTGAAGAGGGTGTGGCTGTAACGCTCATGGTTGACAATTTTTCTGCTATAAACCTTGCTAAGAATCTCATTGCACATGGGAGAAGCAAACATATTGAGATGATATTTCACTACTTAAGAGAGCTATTTAGTGATGGAAGGTTAAGGTTGGGGTATTGTAGAAGTGAAGAATAAGTGGCCAATTTTCTTACCAAAGAAGTGTTGATTGAATTATTCAGAAGAAGCATATATGGGCATGGAAGACTTGAAACACATGAATTAAGGTGGTGTGTTAAGTGAAAAGGGTAATTTAAGTGCATGTATCTGATTACGCCAGGTCTGTAACTGATTACACATGAAACAAAATGACTTTGTAACCAGTTACACTTTGTCAGTAATCTGTTACATCTGAAACATTATGGTTTTGTAATCGGTTACAATTTGTCTGTAACTAGTTACACCTGTTGTAATTTGTCTTCTAATCAATTACTTTGAGCCTGTAACCAATTACAACTGTAGGTTTTTCTATTTTTTTGTTTGTTACTTGTACCCGACTCTATATATATATAAAGTTCACCATTTTCACCCTCAATAATTACTCTATTTAATTCTCTCCCTCTCCATATTGAAATTCATCATTCTTGTGTTTCATTATTCGAACAATTATCTCTGCTACTTTATTCGATATGTGGGAAGAAATACTACTATAAATAACCCTATTTTACCTCGAACGTGAAGGAGATATAACCTTGACTGCACAAGCGAGGTAACGAAGGGAGGCGTGAAAACTATACACTTTACCCCTCAATTTTTGAATAACTTAAGGGAAAAGTTACATTGGTCATAGGTTCGATCCCAAAAACTGCATTTTTTGGATTTTCAAAATTATGCTATTTTTATCTCGGTTTTTAACAAAAACCGATGGGTAAAGTCCCGTTTACAAAATTTTAGTTTTAACCTGTTTATTTCAGTTAGAAAGTGGCGCTTCAAAAGATTGTAGCTTTATCAACCACTGAAGCTAAATATTGCCCTCGCCGAAGCTATAAAAGAAGCATTGTGGCTTGAATGGTTCACCAAAGAACGAAAACTTTAAGGTCAAGCAATCATTGTTAAATATGATAGTCAAAGTGCCATACATATGTCAAAGAATTTAGCCTATCATGAGAGAACCAATCACATTGATGTTAGGTTGCATTTCATCATGGAGAGAATTGAAAGGGGAGAAGTCAAAGTAATAAAGGTTTCAACTGATCACGATGTTGCTGATATGATCACCAAGTTATTGCCAAATAGAAAGTTCTTCCATTGTATGCATTTGATAAAGGTGTATGATGATAGCTAGTTTGTTCCCTGGATGTTTGTATAATGTTTTCTAAGGTGGAGATTTATAGTATTTGGATCAAATTCTAGTCTCGATAAGGGTAGCTTCATGGTTCGACTGGGATGTGCATGCTATAGTTGTAGTTTGTTCAAGCATGTAGTAGTCGAAGTTGTTTATGTATTTTATTATGCAGTAGTTATGTATATCATGTATGAGTGTTACCATCATACATGACATACATATGCTAGTAGTCTATAAATAGGTTGTTCTCTCAGGTTGTTAAGAGAGGTTGGTTGTCATTCTGTTTTGCTTGTAGTCATTAACTCATACTGAGAAAGTAAGTGAATAACCATTATAACCAACTTTGTTATCTTATCTCTTTTATTTCTTCGTAAATTGAACCATTTTTCCTTTTGTTTGTTCAAGAAACTCTCTCTTTCTAACCACATTGATTCATTCTTGATGGTGATTGTCACAATAATTTCTTTTAAAGACAAAAAAATAATTTTAAATTTCAAACTTGTTGTATATGTGCCAAGCCGTATAGTTGATGAATATGTTGAAGACGTTGTGCAGTGAAGAGGGTATGGCTGTAACAATCATGGTTCATAATGTTTCCACTATAAACCTTGCTAAGAATCTCATTTCACATGGGAGAAGCAAACACATTGAGATGATATTTCACTACTTGAGAGAGCTAGTTAGTGATGTAAGGTTGAAGTTGGGGTACTGTAGAAGTGAAGACCAATTGGCTAATTTTCTTACCAAAGAAGTGTTGATTGAATTACTCAAGAGATTGAAGAAGCGTATGGGCATGGAAGACTTGAAACACATGAATTAAGGTGGTGTGTTGAGTGAAAAATTGTAACTTAAGTGTCTGTAACCGGTTACATCAGGCATGTAACTTATTACACATGAAACAAAATGACTTTGTAACCGGTTACACTTTGTCAGCAATCAGTTACACCTAAAACATAACAGTTTTGTAATAAGTTGCACTCTGTCTATAATTGATTACACCTGTTGTAATTTGACTTGTAATCGGTTACTTCGGGCATGTAACCGGTCACAACTGTAGGTATTTCTGTTTTTTCTGTTTGTTACTTGTACCTCACTCTATGTAAATATATATATATCCCTTGGGTATCTCAATAATAAAAGTTCACCATTTTCACCCTCAATAATTACACTCTCTCATTCTCTCTCCCTCCCCCTCTCTCTCTACCTGTCCACATTGAAAATCATCATTCGTATGGTTTCTTGTTCGAATAATTATCTCTACTACTACTAATAACCTCATTTTACCTTGGACACGAAGGAGATATAACCTCAACTACACAAGCGAGATAACGAAGGGAGACATGAAAACCAACCACTTTACCCCTCGGTTTTTGAATAACCGAGGAGAAAAGTTGCACTGGCCATGGTTCGATCCCTAGCAACTGTAATTTTTGAATTTTCAATCTACGCTACATTTTACCTCAGTTTTTAAAAAAAACCGATGGGTAAAGTTCTATTTACAAAATTTTAGTTTTAACTTTCTTTTTGTTTTAATCTGCAAAGCATCAAGTTTGTTGACAAATTTTAAATCTTCATCATCATCATCAATAACAAAAATAAAATCAATAGAATTCTTAAACATTAAATCTCAAGTCAAAAACAACGACAACAATAACAATAACAACAACAAAATTTACGAAATCTTTAAACATTAAATCTCAACAACAAATAAACAAAGTCAATAGAATCGTTAAATACTAAATTTTAACAACAATAATAATATTAAACAATTTTCTTGATACAACTACAACTAACATTAAATATTTTTAACAAGGAATTACTAGATAAAACATTAAATTAAGAAACCAAACTTGAAATATGTTTATACTATTGCTTTCATTATTATTGCTTATATGTTAAGTTAAAATTTCATCACTTTTCATCTAAGATGAATAGTTGTGGCATTCATGTTTTGATTGGCTAGTGAATTTCAAGCGGATCACTAAAGTTTAATGTGAATTGATGAGTTGACAATAATATATTGACCATTGTTATTTTATAAATGGATGACAAAGATTCGTCACTTCATTTTTTCATCAAATTGGTCATAAAAAAAAAGCTATTTTATCCCTCGATTTTCAGTAAAATCGAGATAATATGTCATAAAAAAATTTAAAAAAATTAAAAAGTGATAAAGTGTCTTCTAGCTACTTTACTCCTCGATTTTCAGCAATATCGAGGTAATAGGTTATAAAAAATTTTATAACAAAACTAAAAGGTCATAAAATGTAGTTGCTGAGATTCGAAGACGTGTCCTCTAAATACTTTATCCTTTGGTTTTCAGCAAAACTGAGGTAATAAATCATAAAAAAAATAGCAATTAAAAGTGTTAAAATGTAGTTGTTGAGATTCAAAAGCGTGTCTTTTAAATACTTTACCATTCGATTGTCAGCTCAATCGAGAGAATATACGATATTTTTAATAAAAAAATAAAAGGCTTAAATGTACTTTTGATCCCCCTATTTTCAAGTTTTTTAAGTTTTAGTCCCCCATTTTAAAAGTCAACTATTTGGTCCCTAAACTTTAGTTCACACGAGATTTTGTTGGTCCCCTATAATTTTGCATGTGTGACGCCCTTACTAATGACATGACACTGCTACAGTAATACTTATTTTTAATAAAAAATAACATTAAATATAATATAGAATTACTGTAGCAGTGTCATGTCATCAATAAGGGTGCCACATATATAAAATTAGAGGGAGACCAACAAAACCTTGAGTGAGGTAAAGTTTAGAGACTAAAAAGTTAACTTTTAAAATATGGAAATTAAAATTTAAAAAACTTGAAAATAGGAGAACCAAAAATATATTTAAAACAAAATAAATTATGACACGTCTATGATTTACACCTCAATTTTTTATTAGGTATTCCATTATTAAATATATTATTTATAGTAATGGTAGAAAATTATCCTTTCTTAAATCACGAAGGAGGTGGTTATCCTTGACTTCTATTACTCTATTATAGTGAGACACGACATCTCTCATGTCTATTGGTTAAATAGAGCGTGGGAATTAGTCCAAAGAGATGAAACTCAATCTGGCTGCCTATTGTGAATATTTAGGCGGTCTCATGATCTATTTCGAACTACGCTTTGCAGGCAGATCGCCCCCTCTTTAGTGTGTATGGCCTTTCATATTTTTTCATGGAATATCCCGAGCCTAATAAAATTTTACGGCTACAGTATTGATATTGTAAATTTAATCGCTATCATTTATATTTGAGAAAGATAAATGTATGAGAACCAACGTGTGTGTACCCAATGTTTTATATATCATTTACCAATTGACATGTTATTGGTTAACTTCATCTTTGCATATATATAAGTAAATGCATTATTTTTTTACAATTGTATACGGAAATACAGGAAATACAAATACATGGCCCTGTTGGCAAAGGTAATATTTTATTAAACCGTTCTTTCATAATCACACTTACTGCAGACTTAGAGCCTTCATCCTGCATCATGCATGGTTAATACAATCAGACTATGGCCAGAAATAGCAACAAAAATCAAATAGTATTGAAGTGCTAATTAAGAAGTAATTAAGAACCTTTTTTCTTGATCCATCATGTAATTGCAACCGTTATTTGTGTACTTTGGCAGTGGAACATGTCCTTCCTCAATCAGCTTCACATCATCAACAAGCTTCTCATAATGTCTTTTCACTTCTTCTACTGTCTTTCCTCCCACAGCTCTAGCCACCTTCTGCCAACGATCTGGAGTGTCCTTCTCCAACATTGCCAATGCATTCTCAAATCTTTTGTTTTGTTTTGCTGTCCAATTCGAGTTTGAAGCCATTAAGTTTAGCAACCAACAACACTGATGAGTATATCTAAGGTTTAAGGAGAGTGTTATTGCTAGCTACCCTTTATATAGCAGTGGATGACCTGATTGATGACCTGATTTTTAACTCTAATGATAACACAATTACCGACACCTCAGATTAAATGCGTGTTATCAGAGATATATAACATAAATGTGTAATGTCTTCGTGGAACCATTCCGACACTTCAAGTTAAATGTGTGTTAACAGAGATATATAACATAAATGTGTAATGTCTTCATGGAATCTAATGATAAGTTCCTTCTTCACCCCACCCTATAAAAAGTTGAGATGGACATAAAAAAGGATCTTCTAATCTCAATATGGAAAAATATTCTATATTTGTATGGTGAAGCATGTTCCATCAATTAACCCAAAAAATCAAAGAATGTTTTTTTTTTACTCCAAAATGAAATAGGAAAAAAGATGATATTTAAAAAAAGTTGATGTATACATTAATTTTTTAAATTACTTGTATTTCATTTTAAAGATAATATTCCGTATATTTGTGTCAAAAATGTTTTTTTAGAGAAAATATTGGGATAATTTACTGAACGGAAAAGATTTGAGATAGAAATAGGGATGACAAGCGCATGAAAGAAGCAGGTCACCCAAAGCATACAAAGTAGGGTGATGGCTTGAGAAGCATTACAGAACACTTAATTGGCTTAATTCCAATACCCACGACATGTCTCATATAATATACATGGTTTTTGAGCGTCTTTGGAGAAACTACAAGGAATTTGAGAGAGGGGAAAATCGTTCTTCCCACGACTGAGGAATGACTTAGTTTTCTCCGCTTCACGTTTCTTGAGAAGAGTGGGGGAAACCGTCTCTAAATTTTCTAGCCCAGGTCCAGATAATCCTATATAAATGTTTCAATCTCATAATAGAGAAGATCATGAATTTCAAACAGACACATATTGAAAAAGAGTCTATCATGATTTTTGTGTGGGTAGGCTTTTCACAACTTCACTCACCCTAAGCACACCATAACCAATCGAACGCGAGGTGATCACTCTTACTGAATTCAAACAAACAAAGGGATCATTAGTCATTCGTTGAAGTCATGTAGTAGAGCCTATTGTGTTCTACACGAGCAAACTCTCACTCTCTATTGTACTTTTAACAAGTATAATTGGCACCCACCGTAGGACCGGTAAAACTAACCCGGACGACACCATCTTCAACTCACTAGCCACCTAAATCATCTCCAAAGCATGGTGACAGAGGAAGGCATCATAACAAGCACCTGAGCAATCATGTCTATACACACCATAGTAGGGAGATTTATTGGAGGCAAATAATTCAACTCCTCTCCCAAGAGATATGCTCGACAAGTCATATTGTTGGATGACACATCTATCACCCCCACACCAAGGGAGAGAAAGAAGTCAGAACTTGAAATATTTTTCTGTAAAGGATGTCACTAGTATACATCCTTATGACAACGAACCCATGGTCGTCACAATTCAGTGTGACCATTGAGATATAAAATGGGTATTGATGAACCTGGGAGCTCAACATATGTTATGTTTTTGGACCCGTTTGCAAGGCTCTCGTTGGATCCAGATGACATTCATGCATTTTAAGGCTCGTTAATCGGAATTTCAAGCGAGCTTGTGCAGGAAAAGGGTCATAGAACCCTCAAGACTGTATTTAGGATGAATGGGAATGCAAGGATGATCAAGGTCAAATATATTACGATAGACGCACCATCTTCATACAACATCATCATGAGGCATCCTACCCTCAATTTTTTTGGCACCGCCTTGTCAACCTTATACCTAAGTATGAAGTATCTACTTCCCAACGGGTGGGTCAGGGTAATCCAAGATGATCAAGAGATCTCTCAAGAATAATACTCGAGTAGCCTCAAGATAAGTAGGGTGCAGATGGATGCAACCTTCGTTTTTCAATCAAACGTACAAGAAGCATATTCTATAAACTTAGATTCCATGATGGGTTATGAGAAGGAAAGCTAGTGACCTTGTTGATAGAAACTGAAGAGGAAGATATTATCTCCATGCTTAGAAGGAACATTGATTTATTTGTGTGGGCCCATTCGAGCATGTTTGGGATAGAAGTCAGGGTAGTATGCTACTGTTGTAACTGGTTTTAAAATCAGAGTCGTCACCCTTAATTTTCATCCCGAGGAAGGGAATATAAAGGATAACCATAAAAAGTTAGAGATTCTAGGTTTTTTTACTCGGTTTTAGACGAAGGGAAGGTGTTAGGCATTCCACCTTGTTCACAAAGATACTAGGCTTAGAATTAATCTTTAGGGAATATGGTTTTTAGTATTTTATTAGGGGAACTCGCCGATTTTTGTCGTATGCCTACGTATTCTCTTAGGAGGAATCAGAGTCCCAATTCGTAGTTCGCAGTTGGTTGATGTTTTTTATAAGATTGTGTATAATTGCTTTTGAATTAATCTTGAACCTTGTATGGGTTCAAAATTGTGTGAGCGTAGACATAGTTCGCAGTTAATTTGAAAATATTTCTCCTTAATCCTTTTTCGAAAATGATCTTGGATTTTTATTATGTTAGTAGAAAATGATTTGATGTTGGTTAGTTGTTTTGAGACGTAGAGCTGGGAGTCTGATATAGTCTCCTCATCACGTGGTCAGATATTGGCCATGTGTTGCTCGCGGATGGAGTATTTGATGAATTGCGCGGATTTTAATATTTTGATGTAAAATATTAAATTAAATTAATTTGAAAAGAAGCATGACTAGTATTCGTGAGTTTATTTAATCGAGAGAGTTTAGTAATTGTATGAGTAATTGCTTTTAGTATTTATAATAGTTAAAGAACTAAACTAATTAATCTAAATTATCTAAAATAATTAATATTAATTTAATTGACCAAAATTAACTTAGCAAAAAAACATTGGGCTAGAGAGGTATATATTGAGTTGGGGGTGCAAATAGACAAAAAAGTTCCAAGGCCCAAACCCATTCATCCTAAACCTAATTTATTATAACAAGTAAATAACTTTTTAAAATTTAAATTAAACAAAAAAAATACAAAAGCTATATACCCAGTACATGTTAGAACATAGTTTGATTCTACAACCCTCGTAAGAGTTTTGATGATAACAAACACAAAGAACAAATATGCACTCTAAATTTGTGTTCTATTTTGTATAGAAGTTCTGACGGAAGTAGATCAGAAGTTAAGCTACAAAGGTGTTCATGCTGTGTACGCGGACCAATATCAGAATGTTCTGATGAATGAAGATCAGAACTTGCGCTAAAGAGAAAGACATCTTAACTCTGAACGGAAGTCTAACGTTGCAAACATGACATTATTATTCTGACTTCCCAAGTTCTAAAGCAAAGCAGTGAGCAGATTCCTTATGTTCTTAAGCGTTACTTTTCCATCCAAGCAGTATCAATTGCAACAGCTACAAACAGACAAGGATCTTCATATTATGGAAAGTGCATTAACTGCCAATTATCAAGTTTTCATTTGGACAGATTGCTGCACCTATTTAAACAAGCTTCAAGGTTAAATCGTTCATGATTTACATAACTTATTTCATACAATCTCTCAACGCTGCAAATCATATTCATACTATTCTCTAAAATTGTGTAATACATCACAAGTTTGTGATACAGTTTTTGTAATGAAAAACATATTGTACACAAATTAATTCTCTCTTTTGTTAGTGAATTTCCTTGAGATAAACCAGGTTATGGTTGTACTCAAGAAGACTTTGGCAGTTGTCAAAGTAGAATTGTAATCAGTTTGATTAGTGAATTAAGACCTCGTTAGAGAGAGGCGAAATCACCTTGGCAGGTGGACTGGAGTAGTTTGAGATCAAGCGAACCAGGATAAAAATCATTGTGTCATTTGCTTTTGATTTTAAAGTTTTAATTCAACCCCCCTTCTTGTGTTTTTCACTTCTTCAATTGGCATCAGAGCTCATGGTTCTGAGTTCATACACTTAACCGTATTAGTACAAGATCCAAGCTAAAGAAAAACACTATGGTGGGACTAAGTCAGAACATCAGCAATGACTATCATGATGATAAGGACAGAATCGGCGGCAAACCTCCAGTCTTTGATGGAGAAAACTATGACTACTGGAAAGACATAATTAAGAGCTTCTTTTTGGCTCATGATGCTGATTTATGGGATATGGTAATTGATGGATACATGCATCCTGTGGATGAAAGTGGTAAATAGATTTATAGAAAAAGAATGTCTGACCAACAAAAACGTGACTTCAGAAACCATCACAAGGCCAAAACAATTCTTCTTAGTGCCATCTCATATTCAGAGTATGAGAAGATCTCAAATAGAGAGACAACTAAAAACATGTTTGACTCTCTGAGAATGACGCATGAAGGCAACATACAAGTTAAAGAAACCAAGGCCCTTACGCTCATTCAGAAAATACGAAGCCTTCAAGATGGAAGAAAGTGAATCCATTGAAGCAATATTCTCAAGATTCCAGATTCTAGTTGCTGTGCTGAGAGTTCTTGACAAAGGGTATTCAACTGTTGATCATGTAAAGAAGATCATCAGAATTTTACCGAAGCAATGGAGGCCAACGGTCACCGCTTTCAAACTGGAAAAAGATCTCAACAAGATATCTCTGGTGGAACTTGTTAGCTTACTCAGAAGTCATGAGATAGAGATAGAAGATGACGAGACTCAGAAGCAAGGTAAGCCTTTAGCATTAAAATCTAACAAAAAATTTGATTCTAAAGTTTTGCAGGCTATGGAAGAAACCTCTGATGGATCCTCATCAGAAGAAGACGAATTATCTCTTCTCTCTAGAAGAGTCAATCAGCTGTGGAAGCAGAGGCAACAGAAACTCAGAAACTCCAGAAGAACAGGGAATCATAATGAATCACCCTCTGGATACAGAAAGTCTGAATCCTCCTCTGGACACAGAAAGTCTGATTCTTCTTCTGGTAACAGAAAGTCAAGAAACAAGGACATCGTCTTCTATGAGTGCAAT